GGCACAGTGTGCATAAGACTCCTTTGGGGGAACTTGCTAGGATACAGATAACCTGGTCCTGCCCTTAAGCAATGTGATATCTGCTTAGAATGGGGCCTGTGGATCTGCATTCTTAGATGCCCTTGAATTTTTGCAATTCTGGACCCCTTAACTACATTTCCAAATGATTCAGGGGAAAAAAGAAAGGGGTGGGAGAAGGTATCTAAAGGAACCAAGCTGTTTAATATTGACATTTTAGAGAGGCTGCTAACTAAGTGTCATTAATCTTTAAGTTGGTGATTTGATTTTCAGTGGTGATGGTAGGGGAAAGGGATATATGTAGCTCAAAAAGTCACTCTCAACATATAGTTGGATATAAATATCCAATTTGGAACATGGAAAAAATCTTTTTTTCATAATGCAAAATAAGGTAAAGGCCCCCAAGGCCTTGGCTGGTGGCAGTGCTCTGGGAACAGACTTTGGATTCCGTGTAGCAGTGATTTTCTAGGTGGGAAAATCGATGAGGACCCTATCAACTCAAGCCACAGCAGAATCTCTGGAAGAAGGGAGCTGACCTGAGAGTTTTATGTTTATCCAATGGAGCGTGGATTTTTTTAAAAGGATGGGAAGCATCCTATGCTCCTTCCCACTTCCGCCCACACTAACCTGTGTGTGTCTGGGCCCGCTGTCTGCCCTCGGCCCTGTTGCTGTGGATGGAGTGTCCCCCTCCTCTCAAAAGCCAGTCCTTTCACCTTTATCCTGAATCCATGCCATCACATTCTTTAGAGCATGTCTTCTGCAATCACCCCCTTTCTCTGTCTGTCTCACTGGTTCTTCTCCTCCAGCATTGCATGGCTTACACACACGCCCTGATATGGCCCATACTGGAAAAACCCTTGGTCGACTTCTCCCCTCCCCTTCAGCTGCCACCCCTCTTCTGTTCACTTTCTCAAAATCACTGAATCCACTCCTCCATCTCCCGATTCCTCTTCCACCTATATCTGTCAGAATTATGGCTCCAGTATTCCGCTGAAACTGCTCCGGTCAAGGTCACCAAAACTTTCCTTGTTGCCATGCTGGATGGTCACTTCTTTATCCTTTTTTCTCTTGCTCTCCTGGCAGCATTTGGTGGAATTGAGCCTTCCTGCCTTGAAATGCTTTCCTCTCCTGGCTTCCCCGACATTACACTCTCAATGACTGTTCCTTTGCAATCTCCTGACTTATCTCTCCTTATCTGTTCACTTTAGTTCTCCTCCTCCTTCCTTCCTTCCTTCCCCTTCTCTATCAGCATTGGGCCTGACGCCTGGCCTGTTCTCTTCTCTGTCCTCCTTGCTTCCCCCCACACTAGCTCATTTACTTCCATGGCTTTTAATACCAGCTCTATATAGATCTCACCATAATATGGATCTCCAGTCTTGTCTTTACCTCTGGGCTCCAGACTTGCCTTTTTGACACCTGCTCTTGCACTTCACTCAAACATATAAGATATTTTCCAGACTTAAATGGCAAGAACAAACAAACAAAACCCTCTTGATGTTTCTTCCAAAGCCTGTTCCGTCACCAGCTGTTCCCATCTCCAAAAATAGCACCAACATCTGTCCAAGTGCTGAAGCCCCAGAGTCATCCCCATATTAAAGAATCAAGAATAAATTTTAGGTATGCGTATGTGTACTGGGCCACAGCATCAAGTGTATGTATTATTATTATTATGGGTCAAGGTAAAAAAAGTTTGAAAGTGTATACCCTATGCTACTGCCTTGCTTTTTTACGGAACTCCACTTAGGGCCCCAGGCGATGTGGCCTATAGCCTGTGCCTCATGCACTGGGCTCTGGGACCAGGACCACCCCCACATTTGCAGGACCTGGGGCAGGAATACAAATAAGACCCAAATATCATACGTCTAAATATTTTAAAGTTAGTTATCAGGCTAAAAAACTGTTGAATAAATGATCCCCCTATCCTGACAAATTTACACACTCCTTGGATGTCCACTCTAATACATGGCTGTGCAGGGAAAAATGGCTCCAAGTTTCCTGCCTCTATCCTCTGGCCTCTCTCCTGTCTGTTCTCATCCCTCGCTCCTGCCCACTCCACAATGGTCCTGGTATGTACATGGGGGATCACCCAGCTTACGTGTACAAGCTCCATCCATCTCCTTCCCAAACAGCCACCTGTAGCCACCCTTTTATAGGCCAAGGGGTCACCCTAGGACAGAAGACCCAGGATAGAATCTCACACAGTCATTGAAGGTGGTTCCAGAGACATTTGGACAGGGAATTTGAGGTCTAGAAGAGGGGGTGTGGGTGTGGGCTTGGAGTAGGCACATCCTTTGGGGCCTTGAACGCCTCACCCTGTGGAGATGGGCACAAGTGGAGAAGGACCAGGCCCAGAGCAAGGACACCTCTGGCTAGAAGGGTCATATTGCTCAGGACAGACTGCAGGGGTACAATTTAGGTACCCTTCACTCCTAGACATTTTCCACGTCTACCCAATCCCTCTTCCCCCTCAGGTCTAAGTTTAGTTAACCATCCACTGTGATCACCTATGTCCTACCACCTCTCACAGAGTCTGTTTCATTAAAACTTCATTCCCTTGGGTTTTTAGGGATTTCCAATATTTGATTCAAAGATTTGACTTTCTTCCGAACTCCAGCCATTACAAAGAAAGCAAGTATGAATAAAAAACAACTTTGACCCCCAAGAAGCTTACCATTGAATCAATAAAGTAAAGTGGACACACCCTGAGCTACAATACAAGGTAGAACGGGGTCAGCTATTGGGGTTCAGAAGAGGGCCCTGTGGAACATGTACGAGAAAGTGGAGGTTGAGATGGGATTTGAAGGACCCATAAATGGTGGAGGTGAGTGGAAGGCTATTCCCGGCAGCAGGAATGGCATGAGCAAGGGCATGGTGTCAGGAAAGTCTAGCACATGTTCAAAGAGGCGTCCCATTGGCTGGAGGTTAGGAAAGTACAGGGGAGTATGATAAGCTCAGAGTATAAAAGGGGAGGCCAAGGGCTTCCCTGGTGGCGCAGTGGTTGAGAGTCCACCTGCCGATGCAGGGGACACGGGTTCATGCCCCGGTGCGGGAGGGTCCCACATGCCGCGGAGCGGCTGGGCCCGTGAGCCATGGCCGCTGAGCCTGCGCATCTGGAGCCTGTGCTCCGCAACGGGAGAAACCACAGCAGTGAGAGGCCCACGTACCACAAAAAAAAAAAAAAAAAAAGGGAGGCCAAGAGAGGAGTTTGTATTTAAGGAGTTCGATTCAGTAGGCAGTGGGAGCCATGGAAGGTTGTTGGAAAGGATGATCCTATGATCACAGTCAAGATGAAGGAAGGTTGATCTGGAGCTACAGGCTGATCAGGTTGGAGGAAGTGGGAGAGATAGTTAAGAGGTGATCCTGTGGTCTTCCTTTCCATTCCCTCTGTTATGTCTCTAGTAGGGGCTGCCATGGCTTCTCATCCTTGTAAATGTGAATCTAGAAACTACGTGAATTGGCCATTGATTAGGTCAAAGTCTGGTTGGGGATAAATAGGAAGAGGTGGTAAAAAGCTATTTTGGCATTTTACAGCTGATATCAGGGATAGTTAAGACAGAGAGAGTAGCTGATTTGGGTGGTGACCAGTGAGGAATTTGAGGTTAGGTGTTAGGCCTGCTGCATTTCTGATCTTGATGGGATATGGAAGTGGGAGTGCCCAGGAGACAGCTGTAAATTGAGATATGGAGCTCAGGAAATGGATTAAGGCTACCAAATGGGTTAGGGAGACTTCATTTACATTGGAACTTTGAAAATTCAGGCATTAAAGAGATCCAAAGAAAGAGAATGTAGAAGTAAGAAGAAAGAACTTAGGAGGTACTTGCTTTGAGATTCCATATTAACAGGCCGATATGTCTGGAGAGGTGGCAACTTCAGCCCTTACAAGTCAACTCCTGAGCGAGCAGGAGGTGTGTCTGGAGTAGAGGGAGGCGCACTACCTGGGAGTGGGGAGGGCCTCCATCCAGGTCCTGCCCTAGGTACCGGTTTACAACTAAATCCATCCAGAAACTTCAGAGCTGGAGATGCACAGCAACTCCCCTACCTGTGGCCAATTAAGCCCTCATACAACGTCCCGTGTGTTTCCCCACAACACTTACCTGGCAGGAAGTAAAGTGACCAAAGCCAGAGGTCCATGGCTCCTTCCAGACCAAGGTCCCATCCAAGAGCCCCTGGAGAGGGGGACAGAGACCCACTGCTCACCCAGGAGCCCTTCACTGTTTGATGCTTGAAAGAGACTTCTGGTGCCCACAAGGAGTATGGCTTGAAAATGAGGAAATGACAACCTATTTTATTTGCTTACTAGTTTTAGATGAAAAAGAATATACCAGCAAACCAAAGAGGAAGTCAGGAACTGAGAAAACATGTTGTGTTCAGTGAGAATGGGTCACCAGGGTTCAAAGTGCCTCGAGGCAGCTTCTGAAGACTATTAGAAACTACCAGTTCTGCTATTTCTCTGCCTTGGGGGGTCCTCCCATGCTTTATGTGAGCCACAGTCATTCCCCTTGTGCCTGTCTTCAGGATAAAAGAGCCTCCTTACCAATTTTCTGCATCTGAGGACAGCTGTATGGACAGAAGCTTCGGCTTGAAGTCAGAAGGTGCTGGTTGTAGCCCTTGAACTCATTTGACAAATGCTTTGGGAGACCTACTATGTGGAAATACCAGCTGTGGATTTTGAGCAATTCACTACCTTTCTCTGAGCCTGCATTTCTCTATCTAGGAAATGAAGGTGGGACTAGATGATCACTGGCCTTCTCTCCCACAGAACATCATTCCTGGGGTCTTAACTGCAGCTCATCCCCCCTCAGATCAGCCACCCCTCATCTTCCCCGACTCTTTCCCTAAGGTGCTGCCCTCTCACAGCGGCCCAGGCGCGGTCCAGTGACCACAAGGGCAATGCCCGGAAAGGGTGTGACAGGTCACACAGCAACTCTGCCTAGAGTCACAGCAGCCTGGCAGAGCTACCCTTCAGGACCCTGACGGTCGAGGGTGAGGGCCAGTGGCCGGGACACTGAGAGTCATCATGGAAGGAGCTTTGGGCTCCAGTCAGAACCCTGGATTCTCTTGCTGGCTTGGCACTTTCTAGCGTGGGCCTCAGTTCTCCCACGGATAAAATGGGATGGTGCCTGCCCTGCCTCCCTCCCACAGTGTGCCTGAGGCCCCGCAGAAGCCATGGTCATGCAGGTGTCTCTAGAGCCCCTCATGCGGAGGCGTGGAAGATGCTACTGATGGGAGGATTCAGCATTCATCCCTGGACGATTCATCCCTGTCCACAGGTTGGTTCCCAGGGCCCCCACCTCCAGGTGCTGCAGCCTCCTGTGCCCACAGGGGACTCTGGCTGTCCCCATACCTTTCCAGGAGGCCCCACCTGCCCCCACAACACAGGTCTGTCACACGCTCTCCAAAACACAGAAGACAACATCCGCAGTGGAAGTGGGGCGTGAGGCTCGGAGCAGGTGCAGAGGAAGTGTGGGTGGCGGGGCGCTGGGTCCCCACCAACCCAGAGCAGCTGCAGCTGTGATTTCTTCCCCGCCCCCGCCGAGGTGTCGAGAGCAGCCTCCAGGCTCTGGTTCAAGTGGGTGACTCTAGGGGTCTTCCGTCAGCCTCCACCCTTCCCTATTCTCAGGCCTCTTCCCAGCCCTGCAGCTGGTGCACAGCTGGGCTCTGGCATTGCCAGGCCCGAGGCCTGGGATGCCTTGGAGGGAGACAGAATAAATGAATGAATGCAATGTGTGTGTGTGTGTGTGTGACTGTGGGTGTGACAGTGTGAGGTGTGTGGTGTGAGCATGAGTGGTATGTGACCAGAATGTGTGAGTGTGTGACAGTGGGAGGAGCGGTGTGGGAGTGTGTTATGTGTGATGTTAGTGTGTGAGTGCGTGTGTGGAGTAATGATGTGTGTGTGTGATGTGTGAATGTATGTGTGGTTGTGAGTGTGTGTGTGTGGTGTGTGCTTGTGAGCGTGTGGGTGCGTGGCTGTGAGTGTGAACGTGCTGTGTGTGTGAATGTGTCTATGAAGACGAGGGGTCGGCTGAGCTGTGGCTGCGTCTGCCAGGTAGTGCAGGGATGTGTGGGATAAGAGCGTGTAGGAGGGAGTTTCACATCATGTGTGGCCCAAATAAAACTCTTAACAACATCACATTGGGCTCTTAAGAGCGAATATTAGGGATCTGAGGATGGTCAGGGAGGAAGTGAATGTTTGGAGTCTGAGGGACTAAAGCTCGCAGACCTGGGCCGTCTAGTCTCTACTTTCAGATGTTGCCCCCGGGTCTTGGGGGTGTGGCCCCAGGGGAAGGCTGATCCCTGGCTATATTGCCAAGTGGGAAAAGTTAGCCATCCTCACTCTCTTCTCCCTCCCTTTTTTCTGCCCATCTATACTATTTCTTCTTTCTGACCGACAGGGCTGCTGGAATGCTCTGGTGCCCCCACTCACAGGAGAAGCTCTGAGGAGCTGCAGCGCCCCGACAGGCAGGGGACTCCGTGGCCTCATGTCGTGCCAAGGCTTGGCCAGAAGGGATAACCCAATGGAAAATATTCAGAGCCCAGTGACCGGCGGGTGGAGGGAATAAATAACACCAGATAGATCAGGAACTTCAGGTAAAGTCCTTCAGGTAAATTCACCCACTCTCCATAACAGCTGAGGTTTTATTATCCCACCTCTGTTACAGACGGGGTGAGAACATTTCTCATAAAGTTCTTGTGAGGGCTGCAGAAGGCAGGCATTACCTAGGGCTGGAATATAGTGTGAGCGCCGAGGAGACTAGCCCTTGTCATCAAGGGGGACGTTGTCCTACGGCTCTGCTTGGTTATCACATCACCCTGCTTTGACTTTCCCCTTGGCCAGGCTCTGAAGAGCCATCTCCTGACCTTTCCAGACAGAGGGCTGAGATCCTTGGGTGGCCCTCACTATGACCCAGCACTGCTCTCCCCAAAGACAGACCGTGAGAGTCCCCTGCCCCCTGGACTCACTGGGGAGCCCGCCCAGGTAGAGGCACCTGGCTCAGGCATCCTGCAGTTTCCTCTTTCTGAGAACTTCGACCACAGGCTTGCCCGCCCCAGAGGGAGCTGCTCCCCAGGAATGGGCCTTTGGGAAGGTTAACCTTTACGGTAAACAGACTCGTGACTTTCTGCTACAAGAAATGGTGGAGTTTGGGTAAAATTTCTTTCCTGAATATGGTCATGTTCCTGTTGGTGTTCTAAGGTTAGAACCCAAATATGTGGAAATTTTGGATGAATTTTAATGTGATTTGTCCGCAAAGACCTAGATTTTAGAATATTCAGCTTCATACACTTAAACAAAGACTTTTGGCTCTAGTGAGGGTGGATTGGCCACCCATTTCTTTATCAGCCTTAGGAGAGGTTTACAAGCTTCTAGAACTCCTTGAATTTTACAGCTCTACTATCTTCCTTCCCTTCCTGCTTCAGCTTCCTGTCCAGCTGGGGACCGCTGATCTTAGTTTTATATCTTCTCTCTCGGTGTGCCCCTGTCTAGATGTGTAGTCTTTCTGAGATGATCTCATAATTTTTATTGTACAGGCTCCATCGTAGAGTTACTTCAGAGAAGCTTGGGGATGGGGAGCCCTACTTGTTTCTCTGCCCTGGGGACAAGCTTCACAGACCATATCATAGTCAGGTCCTCTCTGCTGTCTGCTGTTTTTAGGAGAGATGACCCGTCCTGAGTCTTGGGAAAGTCTTGGACAAATTATATATATATATATATATATATATATATATATATATATATATATATACATATTTAGCTTTGCAAACAAAAATCAACTGCTATAAACAGATTCTCAACCACTACTGGGTCTTAGTAATGTGTAATCATTGTTACATAATGGATTTTTAAAAAGAAAAAAATCAAGATAATTCAAGAACTTGAGGAAGGTTTTCTTGCCATCAGAAATATTGAAATAGTTCTCTGCGTGGTTGCTGGACACTAAACCTTGTTATTTGATGTATCATTATCAACCTCACAGTTGATTGTTACTCCCCTATATTGGGCTGAATAGTGTCCCTCCAAAATTCATGTCCACCTGGAACCTCAGAACATGACCTCGTTTAAAAACAGTAACTTTGCAGATGTAATTCATTAAGATGGGGTCAAACTGGATTAGAGTGGATCCTCCACCCAATGACTGGTGTCCTTATAAGAAAGCATGTGAAGACACAGGGCAACACACAGGGAGAAGGCCATGCGATGATGGAGGCAAGCCCAGGATGTGATGCATCCTTGTTGATGCATGTGATGCGTCTACAAGCCAAGGATTGCTGGCAACTACAAGAAGCCAGGAGAGAGACATGAACAGATATTCCCTGCTGACATGAACCAACCCTGCTGACACCTTGATTTCAGACTTCTAAACTCCTGAATGGTGAAAAAATAAATTACAGTCATTTTAAACCACCCAGTTTGTGGTACTTCCTAGAGTAGCCCTAGGAAATTAATATACCCCCGCAAATTGGTGACTTTTTAACTTATTAGAGATCCCATTTAGGCTATAGACCAGCTTCCTTATTCATAGGAAGGTTTTTCTGTCCAACATGCTGCATGCAGAGCAGGTGGATTTGGGGCAGGTCATATTACTAAACTTGCTATCACCTATTGACAATGTCAGTTAAGAATAATACAAGATTGCAGCTTTAGTGACATTTCTTGGCCTTTGATTCTAGGGACTGGGATAGACTGCCTAAGTTCAGGACTGGCTTGTAGGTTGTTGCATTAACACAGAAGCTGTATCTTAATTCTTCTGCCCCAGGCATGACTCTTTGGTGGGTCAGGGAGCAGCTTCCTGAGGGTAAAACAGTGATGGGTTCTAACATACCTTGTAGTTTTGGTTCTCCTGCAATGCTTTGCGATCCAGACTGGGGAAGCACATAGCATGGAAAGCATTATGTTCAAGGCCCGGATAGAAACATAGGTTCTATCCCACATCAGGTGGGCTAGACGGCCAGGAAGAACTCTCTCCAAGAGAGAACTCTCTACACACTGACACCCTGAAGAAGAGTCTAGGGATGGCACGGAAGCTTATAAGATATGGCAAGGTTTAGCAGAACCTAGGAATGGCCTTAGGAGACGAGGGGGTCCTTTACCTAATCACTGTCCCCCAAGAGGCTTTGGGTCAACTATTCTAAAACCTAACTCATCATCTAATTAGCCTCTAGTCTATGGAAGGAGTCTATTCATTTGGTTACTTGAGTTTTGATTACTAGCCTCTTGATCTTGGAGGATACCCCAGGGAGGTATGAGATTTAAGGTCAGGTGTTCCATGGATTCTGTACCAGGATTTTTTTTAGTGCCTAAGAGGAGCACTGGTTATATCTGCTTTCAGTTTATTCCATCATAGTCTTTCATTGCAGAGCTTTGGCATCTTGACCACTGGTGTAGACCCCAAAGTGTTCTCTTATTGAAGATAATCTTGGTCCCACTTGCAAGCTGTCCCCTAGCCTCCCTCAGCCCAGCATTGGAGGTGGGGGAACTCTGGTTTAGATACATGTCCTGGGGTGTCTAAAAGTGGGACTACAGCAAACTGCTCTGAAAGGGTTGCCTGGGAAACAAGTGGTATGGGGGACAAATGCAGTCTGAGCCTCCTTGGTGGCAATCACTGTCTTTAATTATTAATTAATTCACATTTTTGATTTGTTAGCAAGTCCCAGCTTGTAGGTGCTAGTTGAAGTGCAGAGCTTAGAGGGAAAAAGACCTTAAAACCTTAGCTCTTTGGAGATCAGCCCCTCCCTGGCACCATCAAACCCCCTCTTTTCTCCCCTTTCACTCAGAACTCTTCAAATACAGGGGTTATGAATGTTTGACCATTCTCTTACACGATTAGGTCTCTGTGAGTGACCAAAAGGGAAAGGGGGGTCTTCCCTGAGGTGGGGCTTGCGAAAGTCGCTATTTACATTTTTCTCCTCCTCTTCCTCCTTCCTGTAGAATTCTGTCTCCATCAGGAGAGCAGAGGCTCTTGTATGGAGACAGGAGATGCGAAATCTAGCTTTGACACTAGTGTATCTCATTTTTTGCCCTTGGACAAAATTCTTCACCTCTTAGGACCTCAATTTTCTCACCTGGAAAATGGTAAGAATGTGTTTTTGATTCCTTGTATGTATGCCCATGTTACATAATCCCCAAGGCCTCAGGACTGCAGACCTTTTATGGTTTCTCCCAATATAGGCAGAGGTGAGAATACCTGATGAGGATTTTAGTGAGTGTAAATACACAGAGATGCTGTGGCTTCCAGGGATTCAGTGATGTTTTTAGAAAGGTTGCTAGCCGGGTTTGTGGCCTACGTGTCCCGGTGTCTAGCAGAGCACATGGAATCTAGTGAGTATCCAAATGCGTATTTTTAATGAGGGAAAGAAGAAGAGAAGATGGAAGGGAGTGGGGGATTGGGAGACTCGGGGATGGAGTGGAAGGGAGAATCCCACTGACATCCCAAAACAAGGGTGCAGAGAAGCCCTGAGTGGCTTTCTGAAATTGTCTTTCCACCCACTGTGGTCCCTTTTCTTTCTGAGAGGTCCCCTTAGATCTTAATTCTCCTTCCACACCTTAGTTCTTTCATTAGGAATAAACTGTAGGTGGGAATGCCTCACGTCACCTCACCCCCAACAGGAACAAGTAAGCCAGGCTTGGATGCCACCGAGAAGGGACCAACATACCCTCTGAGGACAGGTAGGAAAAGCCTAGGTGGGGTGTGAGTGCAGGGAGTGGAGGCCCGGAGCTGAGGGCCCTGAGGATCAACGTGATTCAGAACGTGATTGCCACGTGCAGAGGGATGGGTGCAACCAGGGCTCTGTCTAGGCTTCTCTGGGGCCGTTCTGGGTGGCAGCGGCCATGTTGTTGGTCTGGAGCAGGTAGGTGGTGAAGGCCATGTCGGCTTCCTCCTTGGATGACTAGGGGGCAACAGGAGAGGGGTCAGTGTTTGGGGCGTTGGCTCAGAGAGTGGGGGTCGGAGGGGGGGGATGCACTAAGTATCCTAAATTCATAATCTTGGCCTAAACAACCCAAGACTGTGTTCACCCACTGTTCTCATTCCAGCCACCGTGCTCACCAAGAGGGACTAATTTTGAAAAATGGAAAGTTGCAGCTTCTAAAAATATCTCCCTCTGTCTCACTACCTCCTTCCAACACATGGAGTGGAACCATCTCTGTTGCCTGGGCCCGTCCCCGGAAGCCCTGCCCCCGGTCACGGCCAAGGTGGCCTAGGTTGGCGTCAGTTACAAGGTTTACATTTTTCTTTCTCTACCAGTTCAGAGACACAACACCAGGCTGGAGGGGAAGGCTGTCTCCAGGACTGACTCATTCCCCTAATTGTTCCCAGTGCTGGGATCTGTGCTGCCGCCAGGGAGAGTAGATATGATAACAAGCGTTAGTGCCTTGGGATCAGGGAAGTACGAGGAGAGGGTAACATGTGACCCAAAGGCAGGCAGGATTTCAAGTAACATGGCACTTGGTTGGGGTGAGAAGGGGCCTCTAGTGACTATCAGTACCTCCCACGAGCAAATGTCTTCCGGGCCCAGGGAAAATGCTGGTCCCAGCAAACCCTCAAGCGAGCGTGGTGACCTGAGTCTATGGGTCCCATGGCCAGCGTTTGACATTTGACCTGCCCACCCTGTGGCTGAATCTTTAATGCATTTGCCTTCCTCATCCCCTGCCAACCACTCCCCCTGCCCCCTCCCCCCCACTGCCGTCTCCCTCCCTCCTGCCAGTTTACAGCCTATAAACGCAGCTTACCTCCTGCCTGGGCCTCAGCCAGGTCAACACCACAACCAGAAAGATGCACTTTCCAAATACTGTTTACACCCCCTTCCCTACTCTGGCACCAGCCCCACTCTGAGGTGGTTTTTCCTGATGTCTAACTGCAGTCCCTCATGCTGCATTTCCTCGTCACCCACGTGAGGCCTCCTTCTCCCTCCTTGCTCTCACCCTTTTCGCCTTCTTGGGTTCTTCCTTCTCCACGGCATCCTCGGCAGTGGTGGCGAACTCTGTGTGAAGAGCAGGGGTGGGTGGGTCAGCCCTCCCCGGCCTCCTATTCCCGTCCCAGATGCGGAGTCAGGGCTAATTCTTGTTCCCCAGGGACTGGGCATTCCCTTGAGTGAGGGATGTACCGTCTTTTCCTCCGAGAGTTGTCTCCTGAGTGTCTGGAGAGGCTCCCATGTTGTCATGGGCTCCAAAATCCCTGGAGTTCTCAAAGTCTGACATGCTAATGTCCGTCCTGTAGCTTCTGATTGAAATCCGGTCTGTCAGGGGGCAAAGAGGAGTTGGTGTAGAGATGGGGACCGGGGCGTCCCCGAGGGAGCCCCACAGGAGAGCTGAAGGGGGGCAAGTTCTTTGCTGCTCGTCTCTGACTAGGACCCAAGGCAGATTAGAAGTGACCCGAGTCTCCTCCCCAGTCCCTTTTCACAGACAATCTAGACTCAACAGTCGCTGACCTCTCTTCATCACTCTGCAAACTTGCAATGCCCAGGACCTTGTTTT